CCACATGTCCAAACACAATTTAAAAAAGAAATGATCAGAGGCAGATCACCGAAAAACTTTGAAAGGGGTTAATTTATTTACGAAATTCATCCTTTATTTTATTATAATAAAATATGATACAAAGTATATATCGATATTATATTTGTCATATTGAAATAGTAAGTTGCAATATTTTCTAAATATGTACACGAACTTTAATATAGCATTTTTATAATCATATTTCTTTATTGTATATATTTCTTGTTTATTAACCCTTAAAACTCTTTAAACTTTTGAATTTGATACATATACTTATTGAAAAATTTTAAATCATAAGCTATTTACCTTAATTATTTTATCAATATCCCAAATTTATAAACATAGGTACTTAGACCTATCCAGTTTAATTTGATGACTTAAATAAAGGTCAAATTCTGCCAATATGCGCGATGTGCTAAATTTAAAACATAAATCTAAGAACTATTTTCACGATCGTGACGATTACAGATACATAATAATATATTAAGCAACAAATAATGAGTTTTAAAATCGAGCCTTAAAATATTTGCCATCTTTACACTATTATTGAATCCCTACGATTATTGTAATCTAACAATAACATCATTTACGTTATTAGATTTTGCTAAGTCGGAAACGAGTCAAGAGTTATATCTATATCGCACAATACATCCTTCGTGACATAAATGCCCTGGAATATTTTGAGATGCGCAAGGCAATAATGAAGTGGATGTGAGAGTGTCTAATACGTCGGATATTTTATCTTCATTAAAAGAGTTGGAAATTAGTTTTAGTTCTTCCTGCGATACCCCATAAAACAAATGCGGATTATTATCTACACCATAAAATAAACGAGAATTATTATCGAAAGGAGGCGTAGAAGGTTCATTATCGGAAGGGGGCGTGGAAGGTTCATTATCGAAAGGGGGCGTAGCAGATTCATTATCGAAAGAATGTACGGTGAGTTCATTATCAAAAGAATGTGTAGAGGGTATACGGCCGTTTTTGGGTCTGCGCCCACGTTTTTCTGTACTATTAGAGTAAATGCATTCATCGTTACGTTTTATGCATTCACAGCACTTAGTAAGTTGATCGGGGCATGCCACCTTTTGGCATCGAATTTTTTTGCGTTTGCAAAAGTTGCACGCTTTAGTTGCGTTGTACCGGTACGTTAGAAGACTATTTGATCTTGGTGGCATTTAGTGATGAAGTTATCCTTTTGAACATTGAAGACTTATATTTATAACATTTGATAAAGTAAGTTTGTAGAACAAACATCGGGAGAACCTGGTGCTTGTCCTCTAATAATAGCATTATCAATATATTCTTGTGTAAATTGATCTATTTATTGAGTATTTCATTGAGGCGAAATTAATTAATTATAATTTAGAAAAATGCCGTAAGTTATGCTTAAAACTTTTGTAATCTTTGTTCATTCTTTGTTAATAGTTCGCACACCAATCTGACACAAGCTGACATCATATCTGTGAAATTAATGAGACTAAGATTAAGCAATTGTAGTGCCTAATTTGTAATACAAAATTTTATTTTTTACAAATAAAATATTTTTCCAGTATGTTTGTGATCAATATTTCTTTTTAGATTTACTAACGCTTGTTGTTTCATAAATTTGGTACCAATATGTCAATGTGATCAAAGTTAAAATGTACAAGGTTTTTGTGTATTTTATATGCTTAAATTAATTAATTGATTTTATATTATAGACTTGAACTGCTTTAATTGATATATACTATATGCAATTAATCATGCACATAAATTATATGAATTTCTATTTGCAATTATTTTATTTCTATACATTCTCATTTGGTTGCGAAAAATTAGTACAGAATATTAAACCAAATTAGATAGCTTGTAAGCCTAATGGACGAAACAAATTTTCATATGTAAATTAATTATATCGATATCTTAGATATTTCAGATACGGTATTGTCTGCTATAAATATCCGATTATTAGTATTACGGCTAGCCAGATTCGGAACAGAATAACTCTTAAGTTTGGCCAACTGATTTGTATATTCAACCAGAGTTACGAGTAATAAGTAAATTACAATCAAAATCAGTAGTTATGGTACACTAGGTAGCACTTTAATATACCCTTATACTATCTTACAAGCAAATTTGCCTGCGAATCTTTGAGGCTATTGCACTTGTTGGGCACATTATATTTAAATGTAATTTAAACCAATTCATCAGAGTGCTTTTTATTAATATTATATTTGGCAGCACAAAGACCTTGTGTTTTATGAATTTTTCGTTTACTTTTTGGATCATCAGAAGCACTTTAATCTGTGATTGTAAGACGTGTAAGGGATAATAAGGATAAACGATAATACTATAATAATACAATCACGTGAAAATTGATACAAATCTTGAGTCTGACAGGCATGAAATTTGACAGGCATGAAGTTTGACAGGCATGAAGTTTGGCAGGCATGAAGTTTGGCAGGCATGAAGTTTGGCAGGATGGTTTATTCATACAGAATGTTATATTTGTCTATGTAAAAAATTTTATAATCGTAATAATCTCGGATTTAGTCTTCCGAATTTTCACTATACGTAAGTACGTGCTAGATTGATGGATCATCTTTACTTAATGATTTTCTGTTTATGTGTTACAAATTTCTGGCGCTCATTACCGTTACTAAACTGGTACTTATTTCTCACCCAAAAAGGAAATTTTGAGATTTCGGTATTTGGAAATGATCTGCAATATCTTAATAAAAAAATAAAAAAAAAAACATTTAACTGACATCATACGGGCAACAATTTACTATTAATATATATACGCAACTAATAAAATGCTAACTCTAATCCTATGTGATATTGGTTATATGAGCTGTAGGTAAAATGATGTCGAGAAATAAGATTCACTCTTTTCAGATTATCAAAAAAAAACAATCAGTTTAAAAAAAAACTTTAAAATATTGCAAAAATTATTCTAGAAATATGTAGTCTAGAGATTCTGAAACTTTAAAGGCAAAATCAAAACACAGACAATGATTGGTGCACCTCCAAATTTGGAACAATCCCCTAACTGCAATATCGGCAACCCCAAAACTGCCTTTTATGTTTTTAACAAAATGATTCTTTGCAAAATTTTGGTATAACCTAAAACAATCATAATTCTAAATCCAAGGTCAAATTAAATTTACAGCAAATAGAAAGTATATTACATCAAATGAATTTGTATAGTGAGAAACAAGGAAATTTAGAGTTAAAGTCAAGTTCGGATTAGGGCTGCTTTTTTGATGCGTTATATTTATATACAGTAATAACGGAAAGGGAACCCCGTAAATATTGCTCTTTTTGAATATTTACTTTTAATAGAAATTTCTTAAAACAAAGTAATTAAATACTTATGATTTCAATACAGTATCATTTAAATCGTTTCTAGGGATGCACACGTCCTGCAAAAGACCGGTTTTGGACGGACTGTGAGCGGTCTGGTGCCTTGTTTATTCGTAATACCAATCTTTTTTTTTTTTTTTTTTTTTTTTTTTTTTACCAAATCAAATTAGAGGACCATTTGGACCGAGGACAGGCCGGACCGGGACCGTAAATATTATAATATTATATAATCGGTCCTTATAGGAGCGGGACTGACTGGGCCGGTGCATCCCTAATTGTTTCATTAAGACAATTCAAATGATATGAAAATGATAAATTAGTTCTAAAATATCATTATCGTTCTAAAATATCATTATCGTTCTAAAATATCATTATCGTTCTAAAATATCATTATCG